TATGTTACATCAATCTCGTATTTCTTTTTGTTGAACATACACTTGCTTGTACGTTGTACTCTAGGACTTGTATTTGATCTACAGATGAATGATGGAATAGTGTAATTTACTTCTGTACATCAGTTCGGTCTCACTGTATTTCAATGGGCAGCTGATAAAAGTTAAAACTGCAAGCGTAATGCACACAAATAACGTAACACTGTGTCGTATTTACTTAACATAGGGCAGTTCCGCTATATCCTAGGGGAAATCATAATTTCAAAATTAATAGCCATTATAGGCCAGAGGAAATTTTGCACCCCTTCACACCTGTGCCCGGGGGCGACTGCCTCCTTGCTCCCCTCTTGCTACGCCACTGTTAAAATCCATTCAGCTATTTTCAAAAAATCTTGCTGACAAAAACACACATAGGGGTGAAAACGTAACCTCTGTCCACCTTCGGTGGTGGAGGTAAAAAAGGTGGAAAGGGATTCAAGGCTCTGATCTCTTTAAATATAATGTTTTTGATCCAATGTAAATTTATTAACAGCATTAGCCTGAACATAACGACATTATAAATTGTAATTACGTAAAATGAAACAGAACAAACAGTGGATAGCTAAGAGTATATAAATAGAACCTCTATAGCTTATTTTTAATTGCTTTTATTACAAAATTTACTCATCTTCTGAAGATAGAAACATACTCTCAAATCTACCATAATTATACAATGAAGTTTAGCTAAATATTTTCTACATGTAAACAAGTACTGATTAATCTACTACAAATTTATAAAATTGCATACTCTATGTACAGCAAGGGATCATTTGGTCCTTCAAAGCCATCCTTGCACACTCATCTTTGGGAAAAGTAAAATTTAAGCCAAAACTTCAGTTTTCAGGAAACCTCTAACCTCTAAAATTAGTTAACCTCTAAAATTCTTGTAAAGCATTGACCTCCCTACTACTGATGGTAACTCATTTCATAAGTCAGTCACATTTTTGGAAAAATAAAGCTGTCTTATCTGAAGCTTAGCCTGCCTTTTCCAAGCCTTAAATTTTTGTCCTTTCATTGTATTACCTTCAGAATATAGTGTAAAGAAATCAGAAGATTATATACAATCAATCCTCTGGATAATCTTTATTTATATTTATATATTTTTACTGTTATCTCCTAGATGTAAACATATAATCTCTAATCTACTTTTATTATATGCTGGACTTTTAAATGCCACATTTTGCATAATGAGCAATTTGTACTATTCATTTAGCTAATTCTAGATTGCTTAAAAAATGAACTGTATAGGAAGTGTACTTGCAGTAAGGTTGTAGTATTCTGCTATAAATCGTTGTCGTAGTTCGTTATGTATACCAGTGATTCTCACATGAACTGTATAGGAACTGTACTTGCAGTAAGGTTGTAGTATTCTGCTATAAATCATTGTCGTAGTTCGTTATGTATACCAGTGATTCTCACATGAACTGTATAGGAACTGTACTTGCAGTAAGGTTGTAGTATTCTGCTATAAATCGTTGTCGTAGTTCGTTATGTATACCAGTGATTCTCACATGAACTGTACTTACAGTAAGGTTGTGGTATTCTGATATAAATCATTGTTGTAGTTCGTTACATTTCCTGGTGATTCCCACATGAACTGTATAGGAACTGTACTTGCAGTAAGGTTGTGGTATTCTGATATACATCATTGTCATGGTTTGTTACGTGTACCAGTGATTCTCAATCAGTGGGCTGTGAGCCTCAGAGTTATGGGCTACCACCAGATGGGGCAAATGTGAGTGCCCTAACCTAAAGAGTCATAAACTGCATATCAGGGTTTTTACTGTTGTGCCAAATAAAAATTTGGGGACTTTAAATGCAAAAGGTTGAGAAACCCTGGCCTATACTATCACCTATGTCTAACTATTAATTAGTATCTTTTTTTAATAACTAGATATGAATTAGCTTTATCCTTATTTATTGTAGCTATTTTACATGTTAGATTGGTTAGTGGTAATTGGTACCTAGTTATTCAAAAAATTTCCTAATCAATAATTAGACTTAGGCTACTATATATTACACAGGAAGTGGTTCACATATCATTTGTGCCAACGATGGTCTAAATATTCTAAACCTTATTTGAAAAAAAATTATAGCATTGCAGGACTCAAATGCTCAGTGTAAAAAAAAATTATGTACATATATACATAAAACATTAATGATGCATGTGCATACTAATTTAATAAACCATATGTTTAATCAAAATAGTGATGGAAATATTTCTTCACATTTTGATACTTTTTTCTTTTGTTTTTACTGTTTATTATTAATAGAAGTCTTATACCTTACATATTGATATATATAGTTATGTTAGAATTGCTTAGGTTTTAAAATTTAAAAGGTGAAGTCTTCTTAAATATATTGTATAAGTTACTTTGGGAAATTATATTAATTGTTTTTTCTTTAAACTTTATTGCAGCAAACAAAGGACAGTGGTCAGTGCTAGTCAAAATGAAGAATCTATGGATGTAGATAAGTAAAGATACTCAGTTTTAAGTCATTACTGACTATAGCCGAACTACTAGGAGACTACTGTAAGTTTGTATACTGAGAATCTTGCGAAAATGAGAGAACCAACATGAGCAGCTTGGTTTATAACCAAGAAGGTGGCTTAGAGCATGTCAGACTTGGCATCGTCAGTTCACGTAGAAGAAATAGGTGTGATAGGAGAGTATAGTTGAAAACACACCAGGACCCATTGGTTCTAGACTGTGTAGCTCATATTGTAAGAATAGATATTCAACATCTCATATTCTGAGAATTTCTAATGAACCTGTTATTGTACACTTTTAATCATATACAGATATGTGTAAGATATTGTCGTAGATATCTGCTCTGAACGTACTTAGATACTGTCTTGTGCAGTGAACTGAATTATGATGATGTGTTCTTGTTTTAGTCTTCCTAAGTATTTCTGCATCTCTAGCTTCAATCACTACCTTCAGTTCTTGTGTGAATATATCAATGTAACATTATTTCTACACAGCATTAAAAAGTTTGAAATAAATTTGATTTCATTAAGGAATATGGAAGTAGTTAGGGAACACCTGTTTTAAACATAGCAGAGGAATGTCTACACCATAGATAGTTGGGGAATGTCTACACCATAGATAGTTGGGGAATTTCTACACAATAGATAGTTGGGGAATGTCTACACCAAAGATAGTTGGGAGATGTCTACACCATAGATAGTTGGGGAATGTCTACACCATAGATAGTTGGGGAATGTCTACAACAAAGATAGTTGGGGAATGTCTACACCATAGATAGTTGGGGAATGTCTACAACAAAGATAGTTGGGGAATGTCTACACCACAGATAGTTGGGGAATGTCTACACCATAGATAGTTGGGGAATGTCTACAACAAAGATAGTTGGGGAATGTCTACAACAAAGATAGTTGGGGAATGTCTACACCATAGATAGTTGGGGAATGT